TATCGCCCCTGTTGAGAAACACTGCTCTATATGGACTGGCCTGACAATGGAGCACAGCTATGAAAGCACTTGATAGATGAAGATTGGCAGTAAAGAATAACACTCCAAATAAAGCAGTGGACTGTACTTTTTTGAGAATTACCAAGTGTTCCTCTTATTAATATGATAAAAATTCAGTGTAAATGAATACACTGTCACGTGCCATTTCCAATGGCCGATGAATCAACTATTCCAAATGTTAAAGCACAAATACTACAGTGTTTTACTATCATATCTAAGGCTAGGACATCTAGGTACTAAAAATCGTACAAACAATTATAAAAATCCTAAGTTATAAGTTAATCATATCCCACATGCAGTGATTAATATGCTGTGTAAACTTATATTTTATTGATGTTGATTTTAACTTGAAATATATTTACAGGTAGACAAGATACACAGTACAATAGTTCTTACCAAGATAACATTAATTTTTTGCTGTTGCATACTCTCCTATGTAAATCCTGTTCCCAAGCCAATTTTTTTGGTTGAACTATTAATTCCAAGACCAGAACATTGAGGTATTAAAAGTATATGAGTTATAACTTTTATAACTATTCATGTGATTTAATAACTAGATGTCCTACCCATAATAAATAACATGTCAGAAAGGTATTACAGTTATATCTCAATGAAAGTGGTATAGTCTGATTACATGCATTTTCCACAGGTTATAATACTATATTCCTGTTTCAGTTCTAGTATACCATTAGAGTACTAAACGTTTTGAAAGTCAACTTAGAGAATCTTGTTTTAACAAATTGCGGAACAATGATTTCTTAGAATAACGGATTTTTTCCAGGTCCTGCCAAATCAATATAATTTTACCTCCTTTTAGCGGATCTGTTACTTGGAATAATGGATTTTTTTCTACTCCAAATCTATTTTAAACTTTGTGTTTTTTCAATGTTTAGTTAATATTTGTGTGTTTCTGGGAATTTGTAGAGTTTAATAATGAACTTGTTACATTTGGGATATGTAGAATATGTAGAATTGAAGAATTGTACAGAGTTGGCCAGCTGATATTAGTGAGGAGGAGTCACCTAGTGAACACTGTCACTGGTCCAAGTGTAGTGCCAAAATTTAGCAAGGTCAGCAAATATTTCCAAGTCATGAAGACCTTCCTGATGAGATTCAGCATAAATAAACAGGCTGTACTGTACACGACATTGCTAATATCAAGCGGTGTTGTATTCAATAGACAGAAAAGTGGCATCAAAAGAAATCAAGATAGATGAGATTTTTACCAAATTGTAAAGTCAAGCTAAGTACTAATGAGCGTATGTAATTTTCCTCTTTTCATGCATACAGTATGTACAGTTTTCGTCGGCTTTGTCATACACACGTATGGCACAATATACAATCAAATATGGCATAATATACACATACATTACAAACATACATTTTCTATGGGATAAAGAATAGAGATGTCAAGTAACTAAATAATTTTGATTATTGGCTCACCTGGAGACAAAATTATTTTTACCCCTCAGACTGAGGGGAATTTGTATAGTAAAATCAGTGAAATATCTTTTGCTTTGACCAATTTCATTTTGAACGGACTTAAGATGATTTTGGTCAAGCTTGTATTTAAAGAAAGAAATGCTGGTTTATGCAGTATATTGACTGAAAAGTAAACAATTTAAATTCTATTGTGTATATATATAAAGGTCAATTGATAAATAGTGGCAACTATTTCTTATCTCAAAAACTTGATAACTGGGCAGTTGCTGCATTGTTTGTCAACATTCAGACTTCTGCTCTCCGTAAACAGTTTAAACCATCTTGCTACCGAACAATAAGAGCATTTGTGCTTTCAACTTTTACTGATTCTTCATAATACAAACATGCTATTATTCCACATTCGACAGCAATTTTCACATAACACCTTTGCTCAAATGTGACAATAGTACACAGCTCGAACAAGTGTAGAAGGATATCTGCTACCGACATCACTGTGCCAAAAGTACTATGTGTACAATTACGGAACTAGTATCAAATTGTTCATAATGTAATGAGGATTAAAACAAGCATTAAACATTCCAGACATGTCTTGTAGTTTTTGAGGTAAAAAATAGTTCCCACTATTTATTAATCAACCCTCGTATATGCATTAGTTCATTTCAGATAACTTTAAAAAAATATATTATTTAAAATTTGTTTGAAACAAAATTATAGAAATTTTTTAATTATTGAATTGTCTAATCTAACCTATCTCCTTGTGGCAAATTATATCTCATAATGATGACATAAAAATGGATCCTTACATCTTTAACACAAGTAACTCTAAATACTTCACAATAGAATTATGATGATCAATTGTGTTTGTTAAATTTTTATCATTATTGATGATCGTTTTCCAACTGTAAAAATCTAATTGAAGCCAATCACTTGGTATCAATTTTTTTCTTGTGGAAATTACTACTACTACACTACTATGAATATTGGAAAAATATCTAAATATCAAAAATTACACTTGTAAAAAACGTTAAATCTTGTAATTCAAATTAAAAAATTACAGTAATTTTTCTCTAAAAATATATGAAAAATTAACGTAATACTATTTTTTTGTTAGGAAAATTATATTATTAATTTAATAATATATGTTTTAGTTTCCTTAATCACCATGTAGTATATATACATATACTGTATTTAATGGAATTCTTTATCATTATAAACTAAATATATTGGAGAATTTTATTATTTTAATAGACAATTTACAAAATTTAACTTCAAAATTTTTAATTGATGTTAAGAAATTGTTCAATCAGTTTTTCAATTTTCTGATAATCTAAAACCAATTGGAAAAATTCACCTTTTCAATATAAAATGCGACTCAAATGCAAATCTACAATTTACTAGTATAAAATAAAGACCGATTTCATAATATCGACCTAACATAATTAGCAATACCAATTAATCATTAATTCCATAATTAAATATACAGTAAAAAATCTGTTATTCAAACTGGATGGGACCATTACTACTACGACATACCGAGTTTCGGGTACGTCGAGCACCATGCATTTAAAGTTTTACAAACTACAAATACTGTAACGCAATTACTGTATTTGAATGCAAATTAATTTATTCAAAATCTAATCTAACATTATGTATTTGGCCTAATTTTGCAGCACTACAATTGACAGACAACGTAATAATTTCCAGTTACCCGGAGAATTCGGTCTCTGTATTATAATCCACAATATGCATAATACAACACATTCTTGTTTTTTTTTTTTTAAATTGTTTCGAATACTGGCGTTTTGAATAATCAAGTTTCTACCGTAATGCCAAACCGAAACAAAATATATAATGATAAATTTCTTATAACCTCTGAAACTTTCATTATAAAATTGTAATTTCAGAAATAAAACATAACACTATAATTTATTAATTTATAATTTATTATAAATGTAACAAAATAACTATTTTTGTGAGTCGAACCGAACGGAACCAAGATCCAGAACAAACAATGCTATTTTCATTTAATTTTATACTCTAACGTAATGTATTTATACGTCACTTCTTAATCAAAAATCTTAAATGAATACCTATATTCAAAATAAACACTTAATGTAATAAATACTCATCTGTGTAATTTTCTAATAGTTAAATAAAGAGAAATAAATCAAATATTACCTTAGTGTAAGTCTAGACTTACCCACGAAAGTAATCTTACGTGCAAATCTATCCGAGACGGCACCCGAACGTACCCGTGCCCTTTAACGTGGCAATTCGGTTATTTTAATTATTATACCCACGCAACGCGGGACGAACGTCCAAAATACAACGAACGTACTTCGTCAAGCAACGTATCTTTAGAAAAGTCGTAACGATCGGCAGCGGCGCACCGGGGATCTAACGTCGAGGGAGCCGAGTCGAAGGGGTAAATTTCTAAGGCGAATTCGACAATTAAGTTATGGCCGGGCAATGCCACGGGGCATTCGGCATGTTCCGGGAGGACTTTTAAAGACAACCGGCCCCCATTTAGGCATCACGGAGGCGGAGAAAACCCGGAAAACTCTTCCGGGCCGGGCACCGACCCGGGGGAACGAAACTACTAATTCGTAGGTAGAGGACCAAATGACAAATAAAGATATTTTTGGAAAGTTTTCTAGTACAGTATTCGTTTTCCTTTTACTACGGAGGGAGCCTCACCGGATCACATAATACCTACATTTTGAATATCAACCGAATAGTCACAAATGTTTATCTAAAGTTGTTTTTCTCTTCTCTCATTAAATGGCAGCATTCAATAACTAAGGTCAAGGTAATTGGGGAGGAAGAGAAGAGGTATCTTGTTGGCTATCTTTTAAACTTTTTTCAAGAAACTAATTGGAAGTAACAGAAAACAGATGGGGACGAACTTATAGAAGGTCCATTAACACTCGCAAGTAAATTCGTGTCACGATGTTTATGGATCTCTCCCATAAACTAATAAAACGTATTTTCCAGACGACTAATATCGGGGTCGTTCGAGCGGTGCAAGGAAAAGTTTATCGCAGTTGCCCCGCGTAAAAATATTATCTCGATTGCCAGCGCCATATATCGCCAGATGCGTGCGTAACGTTATAACGAAGCATTCTTAAACCGAGGGAAAGGATTTACAATAACCGGGGGGGTGGGGGAGGTAGACGTAAATTGCCAACGTTTATCCTTCGGAATTACGCAAGTTTACAGAACGAAGGACGTGGCGATAACGAAGATTAAAAAAATACGTTTACATTTTGCAATAATCGAGAGCCGAAATGGGGGAAATTTACCTTTTCGGTAGCTCGACTCCATTACGTGCGGGTGTCTCGCTCGGAGAGAATTAAATTAATTACGGAATGGGAGAAGTAGATGCTAATTTAATCCGGTTGGAGACGGGCGAGAGGGTAGCGGAATTATCCGTAGAGAAGCGGGTCGGAGACAAGCGAGGAAGTATTCGCGAACGGAACGAAGCAAACAGATATTACCTGGCAGGATATTTTTCCAGACGAGACGGACGGACGACCAGTTGCAGCCTCCACGTTAGGCTTAACGGCAATCGCTAGAGAGCGCTGACGACCGGTCCGCAGTCGAACGGGAGAGGCCCACCATTGGAGCAAAATAGGCGGAAGCGGATGGACGGTAAAAAAGGGGTGGAAAACGTCATTTTCGGATGCGGGTTCGAACGGCGGTCGAGGCGGGAATTTCTTCGGCGTCGCGCACTTTTACCGTAAGGGAGGAAAAGAGCGCGGAGAAGGAAGGGAGACACGGACGGGATTAAAACGGGACGGGGGAGGAAGGAAGGAGAGACGGGAGGATAATCGGGACGGGAAAATGGGTTTAATGGACGAAACACCTCGAATCGCGAATAAAAAGAGGCCGTCGGAGCGTCGGGTGAGTCAGAGAGGCGGGGCCACCCGATAGGTGCAAAGTGAAGGACCAATGGGAACGGGCGGCGGGCAGCCAATGGGGAGGGCGCCGGCGCATCGATCGGGCGACTTCCCTCTTTCAATTTTAGTCCGATGGGTGTGGGAATCGCCGCCGCATCAGTTGGCACCCGGTCACCTCCACGCAGCCATCCCTCAGAGGGGCCAACCCTTTGCCGATCCACGCAGCGGGCCTCTCCTCGGGCCCCACTCTGTCGCCGAACCCCGACGGCCGCCTCCACCTCTCTCGCAGAGAAATGAAATCATGGCAGAGCCAGGTCCCAGGTGCACCAGAAGAAAACAAGCAAATCCTCGGAGGAAAAACGGTAAGTCGGAGGACTCCGCCCGCGCGGCCCCGCGGGCCCGACTACGGAGGGAGAAGCGGGCGGACGGAGACGGAGGAGCAGGGCCCCGGCCGGACGGGCTCCCTCCGGAAGCTTCGCCCTCCTTCTCGGCCACTCGGGCTCCGGAAAGACTCGGAGCACGTGAGGACGGCCATGGGAGCCGGGAAGAGCAGGGCGCAGGCGCGTCAGTCTCGCACTGGCACAGACACACCGCCAACTCTTCCACGGATTGGGTTAGGGATAGGCCAGACTCCTCGTCCGACGACCACCATCGTAAGTATTCGCACCTTTTCTATCTCGTTCGGGCCCAAGGGCCTCTCTCCCGCCCTTTCCGGATCCCGGGGACCCGGCACGCCGGCGAGCGACGCGTAATCGGCCGGCCCGGCCGGACGACGACGTCCACTCAGGTCCTTTTATCCGGGGCCTCCGCCGTCGCCGATCCCTTCTCCACCCCGCGGGAACGGACGAAATTTCTGCCATGGTCGAAGGAGGGGACGACGACGACGACGACGTTACACTCGTCTCCCGCCATCCGGTTTAACCCCGACGTCGGTGGTAGAGGAAGGTCTCCGGAGGAGGAGGGAGAGAATCGTTCGGGCCGGGAGGGATGACAGCCTCCGCTGGGCTCGGGCTCGGGGTGATTTACGGGCGTTTAAAGAGGAGACGGGAGTTTAACCCGCCTGGGCGGGCCGCGCGGGGCCCGTCTCTGCCGATCTCTGGCCCGGCGGAAGCGAAACGGGAATTTTTACGCCGGCCGAGGCGGGAATTTCGATTGGTCGCGGTTCCCGGTCCGAGGGACGCGTTGGGTTCGGGTCCCCGGCCCGCGGCCCGGTTTTTCGGTAGGGTGGGCCCGAAATAGCGCGACCGAATTAAGGCGGCGCCGCCTTTCCTATCGCCGACGCGTATATTTAGCGGCGTTATCGCGCTCGCCAGTCGATCCGGCGTCTCCTCTGCTCGGTTTCTTCCTCGAGCGACGCGCGTCGCGCGCGCCGAGAGAACTTCGAACCTCGACCCCAACATCTGTCCGTCTCTCGGCCTTCTTCTTCCTCTTGCCGGACGCCGGCGATTTACGGACGTTCCGTTCGAGTCCGAAACGGGTCGGAACCCGCCGGAAAGAAAGCGGCGGGCCGACCGGCGCGTGGTGTCGGCGCGCCGGTCGGCGACACGTTGGCGGTCGCGTTCTGTTTTCTGTCAACCGAAACCGAAGTACGAGGCGGTCTCGACCCCCGGCTATAAATAATCGAGTCCTTTCGACCGCGGCGGGAGGAGACGGAGGCGGGGAGGAGGCCCGGGCCCGAAGTTTCCGACGGGGCCGAAGGTGTGTCGCTACTTTTTTCGAGGTGTGTCGGCGAAGGAGGCGGCCGTCGGCGCTAGGATCGGGCAATCGATTCCCTAATAGAGAAACGACCGGTCCAGAAACCATAATTCTACTTTATGAGCCGGCTACTTAAGGTAATTTGTTTTTCTTACGGCGCGCGCTTCTTCTTCTCCCTAACCCTTTTTCGCCCCGTTATCGAACAATTACTGGCCGGCTTAGCTTCTCGTTACCTTATTGGCGGGTGGCATCGATCGACCGAGACGGAATCGGCCCGGATAACCGGCCGACGGCGGTTAAGACGCCCCCTCCGGGCCGCTAATAAACCGGCGCCGGGCCTCTTACGCCTCGGGCCCCGGGCCCTTTTCCGGAGACGTCGATCGGGTCGGCTGCGCTCTCCGTCCCACGGCAGTTGGCTGGTTGCACCTCCGACGATTATCTCCGTTCCGGCTCTTCTTCGTTTCGGGAAAGCGATCTTGGCAAAAGTGCACACTTCTCCGCTCTCCCCCTCCTCGCAATTAAGAAAGCGAGATTCGGCTTCGTCCGCGCCCCACGAAGCCCGTGTTACGCGCGTTACACGCGAAAGAAAACGGTGAAATTCGTCCTTCGTTTACCAAATTTCGTTCCTCTCCGATGCCAAAGACGTTTCGCTCTCGGATCGTCGGGGTAAGCGCCCCCGAAATTGATAGCCATTGCAACCCTGGTCGCTCCTTTCTCGCTTCTGTAGCGCTCTCTCTATCGGGCCGACGCCACTCTCGGCGGGCCGGCGGTCTTTTTTGGGGTTTTTTATTATATTTTTTGTTACCTGCGCCCGCGTCCCGCCACGTGCCAGGTGGCGGGGGAACAATACCCGGGGCCGCGAAGAATGAAACCCGGTTTTTCGAGCACTTATTCAATCGTACAATAAAGGACGGGGACAGATGCTCGTCCAGGTGGCGGGTCCCCCTTCGTCCGCGGCGATTAAAGCCGTCCCTAATTAAACGGCCGTTCGCGCGGTCCCCGGTGTCGAGAAAGTCGTCTCTGGAACGGACGACGTCGTCTTTCGTCGATCGTGCGTCCCGCCGCGTCGCAGCTGGTCCTCGTTTGCTACGCCCACGCCCGGTGGGCCGTGGGAAAGAGCGCGCAGCCCGACGACCGACGGGAGAGGGCGCATCCGGGTTTCTCCCGTCGTCGCCCTCCTCCTCGGCCGATACCGGGCCGTAACCCGAGACCCCGGGCCGTTTCCGGTCCGGTCCGGCCCGTGGCCAGGCCCAGTCGACTGCCAGGCGAAGGGGGGGGTCGACGAGAACCATCTGGACGGCCACCGAGAAAACCCGTCGCTATCTCGACGGAGAACTGCCGGGGACCTTATAATTAACAGGAAATGAAAGGAAAACAAATCCCGGCGCGACAGGAAATTGCGGGCTCCCGTTCGGGTGACGCGGTAACGAGACCTTCCTCCTACCCCCCGCTCCTCCCGCCCCGCCTCTTACCTCGTCTTTTCTCGTTTCCTGCCCGGCAATGAGGAAGCGATTATTACGTCGGATCCGCGGCCCTTTGCCTCCTCTTCCTTCCAATCCGGCGCCTCCGCGACCATCCCCCCTCCCGTTTCTTCGGACCGGGCACCTTCCGTCCCCCGAGACGCCTCCCGAAAACCGAGACGACCTTTAATATCCCTTCGGAAAAATTCCCTTTCCGTCGACGAAACCGAAAACGCCAAAGATAATTTCCTCCCTGTCCAAAGTTAAGTTCCCCGTACCGAAGGGGACGTTTATTTTACCCGTTATGCGCCAAATTACTTCCGAACTGTCGGAAACACCCCGAAAAAAGGGGCCGAAAGTCGTCCGGTCTCCGGACTTTCTTAACTCTCGGCTGCCAGAACCCCGTTTATTACGCTTCCTTCCTTTAATTACGCAGTTACCTCGTTAAGAGTGTGACAAATTCGAGGGTCGACTCTTCTTCGTCCCGGTTAATTATTTGTATCCCGCTATTTGAACCTTTCGAACTCGGCCGCTTCCGGTAATTTTTTTCGGAAGTGGTCGGCACGCGGGCCAAGGCGGAAAGTGGAAGGGAAGGGGTGGAACCGGGCCGATCGAAACGCCTTCCTACGTTCGAGTAAGGCGCCGCGGCCGAAGTGTCGAGTGTCGTTGCCCGGAGATTTTCGGACGTACCCTCGAGATGGTTATTTTGGTCTCGCCCGCCGCGCCGGCGAGAGCGACGCGACGCGCCCATTTCGGCTCGGTCGACGTCCCGTTCCTAAATTACCATCCCCCCTCCCGGATCTCGATTATCCATGACATCAACGGAACGGACCGAACGGGACGAAAATTTAACTACAACCGCGTTGGCTAAACACTAACGTGGGGTCTAAAGTAGTGTTTTCTGCACGCTCGACGCGTATAATCGCTCCCGAACGTAAGAAAGGCGCATCGTCCCTGCCAGTTTTTAGTAGTCAAAACAATCACTTCATCGTCGACCTTACACTAATTAACAGAAGTAGCCTCATTTCGGGGTCTCCCCGTACAAATATACAAATGCAAATATAAGGAAATGTGGGACGAGACGAGTCGAGTTTCCAGTTTAATGCCATTAACACCGAGTAACAGAATATTCGTGAGTAAAATTAACGTTAAAAAAAAGGGGGGCAAATTTTTAATGCTCCCTTTTAAACTATCGAATGTTTCCGCGCCACGATTGTCATAGTGCTTTTTATTACTTTATTACTATTATTTTTTTAAGGTTTAGTTTCCGACGTCCTTCGTTCTAAGTAATTACGACTTCAGACCCTCCTTTAATCGAGGCTAAGTGTCTTTCTCCCCCACACTTTATTACGATATTTTCTATTTCCTCGGTCGATTCGAACACTAAATACGGTGTAAATTAACACTACAGGGGTGGAAATTTCGTTGGGATCTCCCATTTATAAACTTATAACGCACGGGCGCAAAAACAACTCCTGCGGTATCCTACTATGAGCTATTGTTTGTTTATGCGCGTGTATAGAAGCACTCGAATTTGGGGTAGTTCCCGAAGAGGGGGACTCGGAGTGAAGGGGAACCACTACAACCGCCTGGTAATGTTTTATCAATTTAGGCCGGGTGGCCTGTTTTCGTAAGAGATGGGGTCAAAGTATAGAGGGAACTGACGGGGTTTACTCCATTTTTTATATTTTCTTCACTCGATTACGGTTTGTAATGTTTCGTTAGCGAAATTTGTGCCACAAAATATAAAAATATTCCGGTTGGTCCGGCAAACTTTACCCACTTCGGCCAATTAAACCCGAAGCGTTTTGTGTGTTTTCACTTGTTTCGGTATAATAGCCCTTTAACAATAATCGCTTTTAAAAAGAAAATCACGCGAAATTCCTTCTTTCCAAATGGTGCGATACATTGGCTACCGTCGAGTGCCGAAAATAAATATAGGCTACGAAATAGGTTGTCGAGTTTAAGAAAGACTTTCGCTCCATTAAATTTATAGGAGAAGTTCTAATACATCTCTACCGACTATGAATAAACTCGGGCTCCTATACGATATATTAAATAATAGGATTTGTAATAAAGGGCGTTTGACACACACACACACACACGTTAGTGTTTGCAAAGTTTGTGTCGG